TTACCTATATATAAAATATCCCTAAATATATCCCCTAATCATTATAATTACAGTATTATAATTATCCCTATTCAGGTATTTTTTTTTTGGGTAAGGGGGTATTTTTCTCTTTCAATGTTTATTCAAACATAAAAGTAAATTCATGAATTAGAACTGCCTTATTCATTGTCAATAACTTCAACTTCAATTATATCTATAACTAGAATTTCAACTTCAGTATCCAAAAATCTAGTCTTTGACCAAGTCTCACCATTTTTACATGTAATGTGCACAGCTGTCTGTTCTACAATCCCAATAGAATTGATTTTTCTTAAACTAAATTTTTGGAGTTATAAATTTTTGTCTAAATTTGCACATTTCAAATGCCATATTGACAATTTTTTTTACAGTAAACTACAATATACTGAAAGTAAACTACTTTTGCAGCAGATTTCAAAATCTGAAGTTTTCAATATTCAATTATATAATTATTTTTTTATTTTATTGATTTTCAAGTTACGCTGGTATCATTTAGACAAAGTTGGAGCATTTGCCTAGTAGATTATGCACAAAACATTTGAAAGAGTTTAAGAAAATTTAAAAACCGAGCTCAATGTCACACTTCGTGTGACATTTTGCGCAGTTTAGGGGTTATGTGTGATATAACAGAAGTGCTTAGGAATGCCAGAAAATTGCATTCTGATGAAGATGGCAAACTTTGGTCAATAAGGCAAGACCTCTCAAAGGAAGACAGAGAAAAGCTGAAAATGAACATCATTGAAGCAAAATGTCTAAATGGGATTAGAAATGAAGACAAATTCTTTTTTCTACAGAGTGTTAGGGACTGGAAAGCTAGTAAAATGCTACGTAAAAACAAAGCAAAATCATTAGAGGAAGGGGGGAGCAACGGACAAAGGTAAGGGGAACATGTTCCTGTAAATTGTATATACAGTACCAACATAGATGGAGTGAGATAAAAAATATTGGAGTTGAAAGATATAATTCAGCTTAAGGTCACAGGTATTGTAGCATTAACAGAGATGAAACTTGAAGAAAATATTTTAAATGAGGTCGTATATCCAAGGGGCTACTCAGTTTGGAGATGTGACAGGAAAACTAGGAAGAGGGGGGGGGGGGGAGTGGCTGTGCTGGTGAAAGAACACCTGAAGGCAAGAGTTAATACTTGATAACCCTAGATAAGTTGGTGGCAATACAGGTCTGGAATCAGGATGATAATCTGATAATTATAGATCCCTACAGCCCACCAGCAAGCAACACATGGACAAAGGAAGAACTGGATAACAAACGAGAGGGCCTCATAATGGTCATAGAGAGATTATAGTAAATGCAGACAAAGATAAATCATGATTGTTGGTACTGGGGGACTTCAACTTTAAAGCAATAGACTGGGAGGTCTACGAAGCAAGAACAGAGGACATTTGGAGACAGATTTGTAAACCTCATTCTGGAGACATGTATCAACATGTCAAGTAGCTGTCAGGAGTACTGACAGCTGAGTGGACAGCTCTTCGGACTTGTAGTCCTGAGGATCTGGGTTCAATCCCCAGTGGAGGCTGAAGCAAATGGCCAGAGTTTCTTTCGCCCTGATGCCCTTGTTACCTAGCAGTAAATAGGTACCTGGGAGTTGGACAGCTGCTACGGGCTGTTTCCTAACGGTGTGTAACAAAAAGGAGGCCTGGTTAAGGACCGAGCTGCAGGAACGCTAAGCCCCGAAATCATCTCAAGATAACTTGAGATAAGGAGGCTACACGAATGAGAGAAAGGATGTTCCGTTGGTACTAAATCTAATATTCACCAGGAAAGACATATTTGACATCCAGTACCTTCCTCCCTTGGGAAAAAGTGATCATGTCTTGATGGACATTGCATATGCTTTGAGATATAATCTAGAAAAAAATGGGGACATTGAAACAGTTGTTAAACTCAATTCAAAGAGAGGACAATATGGGGTTCTTAAAATTTTTTTTTTAGTGAGTACATAATAGGACAAACTTGTTGCTAGGCATATACGTAAATGAGATGTATGCCAAATTTTGTAAAATATATGATGAAGGCACACACACATTCATAACAAAGCAGAGATGCAGACCTATGAAACAGGATTGGTTTAACAGAAATTGTGAGAGGGCCAGAGACCAAAAGACACAAAAATGGAATCAATATAGGAAGAGGCCAAACCCCCAAACATACCAGCGATACAGTGATGTGAATAACGACTACACGGCAGTGAGGAAAGAGGCAGAAAGAAATTTTGAAAAAGGGATAGCAGACAAGTTTAACACACAACCTGGCCTTTTCTATAAATTAATGAACAAATTACAGGTAAACGATAATATTCAAAGGTTAAAAATGGGAAACAGATTCACAGAAAATGAAAAGGAAATGTGAGAAACATTAAACAAAAAGTTCCAAAGTGTGTTTGTACAAAATGAGATCTTTAGGGAACCAGACACAATATGAATCCCAGAGAACAACATAGAGCACATAGAGGTGTCTAGAGACAAAGTGGAAAAACTACTAAAGGAGCTAAGTAAGAACAAAGCAGTTGGCCCAGATGGAATTTCACCATGGGCTCTGAGAGAATGTGCATCCAAACTCAGCATTCGACTTCAACTGATTTTTCAGGCATCTGTGTACAGAAGTCATAGAAGTGTGGGAAAAAAGGCTAACATAGTTCTAATCTACAAATGTGGCCACCTCAATTATAGACCCGTATTGCTGACAAGCGTAATAGTTCAAATATTGGAAAAAATAATTAAAACTAAATGGGTAGAACACCTGGAGAAAAACTATGTCACACCGTCAGGATCTTCCAGATCGAAAACCATACTTTGTTACGATTTACTCAGTTTCTATGATCAAGCCACAGAGATTTTACAGGAAAGAGATGGTTGGGTTGACTGCATCTATCTGGACCTAAAAAAAAAAAAGGCTTTTGACAGAGTCCACTTAAGAGGTGGTTCTGGAAAATGGAACATATTGGAGGGCTGACGGGTAAGCTTCTAGCATGGATGAAAAATTTTCTTACTGATAGAAAAATGAGCGCAGTAATCAGAGGAAGTGTATTGAAATGTCAGTGGAGTACCACAGGGTTCAGTTCTTGCACCAGTAATGTTCATTGTCAATATAAACCATCTACCAGATGGAATACAGAATTATATGAATATGATATTGCTGATGATGCTAAGTTAATAGGGAAGATACGTAACTTAGAGATATTCAAGATAACCTCAAGATAGAGGATTGTCATACTCTTCAAGAAGACCTGGACAAAATAAGTATATGGAGCACTACTTGGCAAATGGAATTTTAATTTAAATAAACGCCATGTTATGGAATGTGGAATAGGAGAACCTAGACACAACACAAGCTATAAGTTATGTGAGACATCTTTAAAGAATTCTGGTAAAGAAAGAGATCTAGGGGTGGTTCTAGATAGAAAACTATCACCTGAGGATCACGTAAAGAACATTGTATGAGGGGCCTATGCTATACTGTACTGTACTTTCTAACTTCAGAATTGCTTTTAAATACATGGATGGCTAAATACTAAAGAAATTGTTAACGACTTTTGTTACACCAAAGCTGGAATATGTAGCGGGTGTATGGTGTCCATATCTTAAGGAGCACATCAACAAACTGGAAAAGGTGCAAAGACATGCCACAATATGGCTCCCAGAACTGAAGGACAAGAGCTACAAGGAAAGGTTAGAGGCAAATGCCAAAACTAGAAGATAGAAGAAAAAGAGGTGATATGATCACTGTGCACAAAATAGTAACAGGAATTGATAAAATTGATAGGGAAGATTTCCCGAGACCTGGAACTTCAAGAACAAGAGGTCATAGATTTAAATTAACAAAACAAAGATGTTGAAGAAATACAGTATAAGGAAATATACTTTTGCAAAAAAGAGTGGTAGATGGTTGGAACAAGTTAAGTGAGAAGGTGGTGGAGGCCAAGACCGTCAGTAATTTCAAAGCGTTATATGACAGTGTGCTGGGAAAACAAGACACCACGAAATTAGGTCTCATCCTGTAACTACACTTAATTATGTCTTCAACAAGTGTTTAGAATTATATTGCACATGAACATTCTGGTTGTATTGTGGTTATAAAGTCATTTAGGTGTTTGAAAGTAATGGTGTTTTGAAGGTTGAAGGGTAGTTTCTCTCACGACAACCCCCTTAGATTGGAAAATTGGTATAGATTTTGAGAGAGAAGAGTGGTAGTGAAAGATTCAATCTGAGTCTTAGGTGGAGCTGTACATTTTCTTCGCTGTACTGATGTAGTTATTGACAAGTATATTAGGTTGTTCAGACAATTTTATGTCAAGAGAGAAGTGCATAATTTAATGCTGGGGGTATTTCGTAATTTGGTGCTGGGCATCATCTTTCAGGTTGAAAATACTTATTAATATTTTAAATTATGAACTATTGATTTAGTACACGTTAATAATTGCAATGAATAACAAAACTGAAATGGTATTCGTTCTAGTGCGGAGCTCAATACTCATCTCGTAATAAAACACCGAAAAGGACAATAAGATAGAATATGTGACTCAATCATTTAGAATACAGTGTACGTTTGTAATATTTCTAGATTTAAATAGGAATCCCTGTTGGTATATATCGTACTTGAAACAGTGCAAGCTTAATAAAAGTTGTAAGATCTGTCTGCTGGTAAATACAGAGCATTTACTAATTAAGTGCTATCAGCACAATATATTATACTGTAATTTTAATATATGGGTGTACACAAATATTTTCTGTGGCACCAGTTTTTCTATCAATTACTGTATTACTTTGACCTTGATGTGTTACTTCTAAATTTGCACTGAATATGTACTATAATTTCCTCGTTGACCTAACCTAGTTAGACATACGGTTAAATAATAATAAACCTTCACTCATGACTGATGCCCTACCCCTTGATATATCACTACTAACCTACTTTAATAATATTAATCCCCATTACTAATGACCCACTGATGGCCCTTGCAGGCAGCTCCTTCATGCGCTTACCCGATAATAGTCCTGGTGGGAGTGAGTCCAGTGGTGGCTTTGGTAGTGCCAGGATGAATCCCAACGCTGAGCCTGACTTTTCTGAGTTTATGTGGATGGCCGAGGAGGATCTGGAGGCCTTTGACCACAAGGTGAGGCTGGCCTATGAGGAGGAGATGGCGGGAGGAAGGCTCTCTCACATGTTTTGCATGAGACGGTTCATCTTGGGCATTTACCCTGATAACTGTCATTGTGTGCTTCATTGGTGTAGTTTTCTACATTAAGAAAGCACTTTTGAGATGTTTATAAAGGTAAAGTCACTATTGTAAGGCTGTTAATTAAAAATCCATCAACTGGCAATACTAAATCTACTTTCATCAGATTAACAGTTAGTCTGTTTCTTGTTTTATTCAAGTGGGTGTGTTTTAGTAGAGAAATATTTAAATAATTTGGCCATATCTTGATTCATTCTCTTGTTTACATGAATTTTATAATGTTGTAATAAGAAATTTATAAATATACAATGAAAAATTTGTTATATTGTATTTGGTTTAACAATGAATACAAATGTACTGTGGTTTCAAGTGAAGTGCAAATGTATTCTGTGCAAATGTATTCTGTGTAGTCTTTTACATAATGAGAATGAATTGAAGTTTGGTACTGTTGACAATGGGTCAAACCATTGCAGTAGCATGGATTATCCCTGCAAAGTGAAATCCTTTCTAATTCTATTTTAGGTGAAGTTTAAATTTTGCTTTTGGCTTCATTGTATAAATCAAGTTTAAAGATGACGGAAGTTTTTTCTTTTTAAGGTACAGTATTCTATTTTAATTGGTTTAATTTTTATTTAGAAAAATTTATTTTTATAACAAAAGCATGGTCCATAATGGGATGTAATAGGCTAAAACACATGGAACACATCTATTAGTGGATAATGTTGAGTTACTGTTGATAAATTGCTGCTGAAATCTTTGAAGGCCTCTTGCATATCTAAAGAGAAGTCTGTTCCTGATACAATGAATATTATTTTACTTAGGCCACTGTCAATAAGTTTTTATATTTTTATTCACATAAAATTTATATTTGCTTTGAAAAACCCTTATGTAAAAACACTTTATTAAATTAAATAATTGTATAAATTAGGTTTCACTTAATGGAAATGGAAAAAACTCATGTGAATACAGTATTAGTAAAATGGGTAACAGGTAAATCCCCTTAATTATATGAATACAATAAAATTCAGATTTAACATTTTACTGCACTTATTTAGAATGGCCATAGTTTTCCCATTTAAGTTTGAAGTACAGTACTGTATAGTAGTATTTTAGTGGCGCTCTTTCATAAGTGAAGGGTTATACCATTTATTTTTATTTTGATGGATGGATGGAAGAGATCAATACTGTATTATCTCTTGGCTACTGTATATTTTGAGACCACTTTACTTGTATAAATTACATGATTTTCTGGAAGTCTCTTCAGTTTCATGATGCAGAACTCCTTGTTTGATGGCCACTTGTACACTTGTTATATATAATCACAAACCTATTCAGATAGTAGTTGACTTTATTTTATTGACATCTGTGTAACATCAAAATTGTTCTAGTTACTTAACATTTTTTTTTTACACTTTATGATTTGCTTATTGGCAACAAATGGAGTGAATGCAAATGTTAGGTTATGTTGAACAATATCTGGATATGAACCATTTTCCATTTTGGGAAGTTGGCCAGATTCTACTTATTCTCTGCTTGTTTATGATGGAAATTCAGGCTCAATAATTTTGACATGGTTGTTATGAATAGGGTTAGTAGGCTCATCACAAATGGCTAAATACAGTCCATACATAGAGAATACTTTTGTTTTGTTTGATGTTCAGTATTATGTGACATCGTACAGTTAATCTAATGCATTAAATTAACTAGTTCTAAGCAGTCTGACTACAGTAGTCTTGCATGTTTTTCCTGATCTTATGCGCTAAGCAGGCTGGTAGGTAATTTACAAAGACAAAAATATACTGATGAATGAATATGGTTTCTGAAAATTATAAATTTGTTACATTTAGGACTTAATTTTGAACACTAAACTTTCCCTATCGATATAACACAACGGTCTTGAAAATTATCTAATTGGGTTAACCTAAGCAGGTTACCATATTTGACAGGTCATATTGGTTTATCTTTGAAAGATATTTTGCCACTGTCTAGGAGTTTGATATCCAGACCTCCTTGAGTGCTAACAAAGGATAATTTTTTTTTTTATATTGCATTAAGTCAGTACAGTACTGTATGTCATTGGTCAAAGGACTAGCATGTTGGGTCCCTAGATTCTACAATTTTAGGTTATCTAAGAAAAGGAAGAAAACTGATCGAAGATCACTTGCGTTACAAGATTCCAAATGAAGAACATAGAAGAAGCACCAGAATCTGACTGCACCAGGTTAATGAGGATGGGTAAAACACTTTACCATAATTACGGTAGGGTTAGATAAACTAAAGAAATTATACTATTCACTGGTTATTGTAATACATTTTATATTGTAATAACATTTTAGTGGTATTAGTAGTAGAGAAGCTTGGTAAAGGATATAAATGTTTGTTGTTCTTTTCAATGTTACAAATTTTTATTATATTTCTACTATCAAAAATGGCATGTCATAAATACTAGTCTATTTTAAAAATCTTCCACTGTGTTCATGTGTCATTGAACCCTCTTAATTCATGTTAAATGTAAAAAAAATACCAAGTTTAGAGTAGCATTTTAAGAGATTTCACCTGATAATTTTTTAAGGCAGACAGTTATCTGCAAATAATCAAAATTTTTTGTTTCATACATTATTGTCAGCATTTTGCATTCTATGCAGCGGACCATGGATATGAGATTTTGTTGATGAATTTGTTTTAGAGCTCATTTATGGTGTCTTGTGGTAAGATGAATTTTTTAAATTAAGATTGAATATTTCATTCCTGTATTTATTGAGAGTAATCTGTCAATTAGGTAATCTGCGAGGTGAACCAAGTAATGATGGAACAGTCAAGTACTCTGCGGGAGGATGAAGAAGAATTCCTCCGTCGCATGTTAGAGGAGGAGGAGCAACGTGACACTGTTTACTACCACCAGTACCAGGAGGAGAAGTGAGTACTGTGGTGTATAGTCTATTTTCAGTCAAATCAGGCATCTTATTTGGCATGTACAGTGCTGTATATAGATGATGACTACCAAGTTTGTGATCTTTATTCCCTCTGAATATACTATATTCCCATTTGTCTAATTTTCTTAAGAGAATTTTTTTTTAGCCAAATCTGTAAATTTATATGGTATTATACTGCATACCATTGTCTTAATTTTTATACACCTTGTCCAGCTGAAAATTTGAGTCTTGGTTGTGCTATTGGATCACTTTACTGTATTCCAACTTGTATGTATGCAGGTATATCAAATACATCTATCTAAATTTAAATTTGTGTGATCTTTTATTTGCATGATATAGGAAAAATGGGGTTTGGTTCCAGAGACAATGACAATACATTTATTTTTTAATTAAAATTTGAAACTTCACTTTCCCACCTCAAAATCAGCACGTGATAAAGTACAGAACGCTTGCTGTACACTGGTTTATAAGTATAAATCAAAATTTAGAAAATATAAAATGTAGAGTGGAAGCCTGACTTAATGCTGAAAATAGAGAAGACTCGAGGATTACTGAAGAATTTTTACATTACTGTACAGTGTACTTATTTGTTCTCGACAGGTGTAACTTAAAATAACATAGGTACCACATACTGTATCTCCGAATCCATGTACAGTACTGTAATACAATAAATCAAATTGATTGTCTCTCTAATATACATACAAAAAAGTCCATTTGGTGCACAACCTGGTGTAGAAATATTTAAACGTTAACCTTAGTATGGTTGATAAACACTACCATTATTAGTAACCAAGTGCTCTAGAAATCCCACTAATAAATATAACCAATCTTTGGCGATTCCTTTAAAGTGTGCACAAAATTAAAATAAATTGATCTGTTAATCTGGATATAGAATATAAATGTTACAGTACATGTGATAACATAGTTGATGTTTGTATATAGACTTTTTAGTCTTTATAACACTTCAAAGCAGAGAAAAGTATTATATCAAGGAAAAGAGATAAGGTATGATAACAATAATGTATTTTGGTATTATTTATAGGTTTTCTTTATATCACAGCTACTTGTTCTTGCATCACTTAGTGCTTTATAGTCATTAATGCTTCCTTAATTTTTTTTCCTATGTAGTTATAGGATGAGAGCTACACTTGTGGTAATTACCTAAGTGTAGTTACAGGATGAGAGCTACGCTCGTGGTGTCCCGTCTTCCCAGCACTCTTTGTCATGTAACGCTATGAAACTACTGACGGTCTTGGCCTCGACCACCTTCTCACCTAACTTGTTCCAACTGTCTACCACTCTGTTTGCGAAAATTAATTTTCATATATTTCTTTGGCATCTTTGTTTAGTTAATTTAAATCTATGACCTCTTGTTCTTGAAGTTCCAGGTCTCAGGAAATCTTCCCTATCAATTTTATCAATTACTGTTACTATTTTGTATGTAGTGATCATATCACTTCTTTTTCTTCTATCTTCTAGTTTGGCATATTTAATGCCTCTAACCTCTCCTCATAGCTCTTGTCCTTCAGTTCTGGGAGCCACATAATGGCATGTCTCTGCATGTTTTACAGTTTGTTGTGCTTCTTAAGATAGGACACCATACAACCGCTGCATATTCCAACTCTGGTGTAACAAAAGTCGTGAACAATTTCATTAGTGTTTTACCATCCATGTATTTAAAAACAATAATGAATGTATAGCATAGGCTCCTCGCACAATGTTCTTTATGTGGTCCTCAGGTGATTGTTTTCTATATAGACCCACCCTTAGATCTCTTTCTTTATCAGAATTCTTTAAAGATTTCTCACATAATTTATAGGTTGTCTGGGGTCTATGTTCTCACATTCCACATTCCATAACATGGCATTTATTTACATTAAATTCCATTTGCCAAGTGGTGCTCCATATACTTATTTTGTCCAGGTCTTCTTGAAGGGCATGACAATCATCAAAGTTACTTATCTTCCCTATTATTTTAGCATCATCAGCAAACATGTTCATATAATTCTATATTCCATCTGATCAATCGTTTAGACAATGAACATGACTGGTGTAAGAACTGAACCCTGTGGTACTCCACTTGTAACATTTCTCCAGTCTGATACACTTCCTCTTATTACTGCCCTCATTTTTCTATCGGAAAATTTTTCATTCATGTTAGCAGCTTACCTGTCACCCCTCCAATATGTTCCAGTTTCCAGAACAACCTCTTATGTGGAACTGTCAAAAGCCTTTTTTAGGTCCTGATAGATTCAGTCAACCCAACCATCCCTTTCCTGTAAAATCTCTGTAGCTCGATCATAGAAACTGAGTAAATTCGCTACACAGGATCTTCCAGATCAAAAACCATACTGTCTGTCTGATATTATATCGTTTTTCTCCAGGTGTTCTACCCATTTAGTTTTAATTATTTTTTCCAGTATTTGGACTATTACACTTGTCAGTGATACAGGTCTATAATTGAGGGGGTCTTCCCTGATGCCACTTTTGTAGATTGATACTATGTTAGCCTTTTTCCACACATCTGCTACGACTCCTGTACACAGGGATGCCTGGAAAATTAGTTGGTGGAATGGTAAACTCAGGTGCACATTCTCTCAGAACCCATGGTGAAACTCCATCTGGGCCAACTGCTTTGTTCTTACTTAGTTCCTTGAGCATTTTCTGCTGGGGAGCCCCTTCGGCTTCCCGGAGCTTACTAGGCTGATATGCTAATGTCAGACTTTGGTATCAGTCATGTGTATGGAGTTCTGTGGGCCTACCGGGGACCATGAGCCAAAACCTGGCCCCCCTCGGAGAGGCATGGGGAACAATGGCCTATAGAAACTCCCGTGTTAGAAGCACTGTGTCTGCCATTCTATGTCTGCTTACATTTCTGGGTCAGGCACCCAGAATGGTAAGCATCCCAAAACAAACCCCTATACTAGTAAAAGTATTGCTACCAAAAGCTGAACAACTAGATAGAACTCCCCTAAAAGAAACGAGCAAACGAACATGACGTCACATGTCGCCACGCCACTGTCTGCGCAGCTCTCCCCTCCCTGGGAGGGGGAAGGGGGAGCCCCAAACCCCTTGCGCCGGCTATCTACCCTTCAGTTCTCAGGCTGATGCTAGACGCGGAGGTCATGTGCTTGGCTCCAGAGTTTCCAGCACTTTACTTTGAGTGTGGTGGCTGTCTTCTAGGGGTGCGAGAGCCAGGAGTTATTCTACAGTACTTGGGCTGGATGCGCCTAGGGTTATCATCCCTAAGTGCTCTGTAAGTACTGCCCTAGGAGCTTGGGGTTACCTTCCATAAGTTCCTCGGGGTCTGCCTCTGCTAGGCCGTAGTACTGCTTGGTTTTCGTATTACTGCCCTTAGGATGCTTAGGGGTTTTGTCTTCCTGGTTTACCTTCTCGGCTTGCACTGGTGGGGTACTGGGTACTGTGCAGCTAGTTTTCACCACTTACAATGGCCGGCTCTGTTCCTTGGGGTAAGTTGTCCTTTTGCGGGGTTTTGTTTTTCTTTTTGTTTGTGCCTTGTAGGAAGGTCTGCCTTGCTTCCCCCATTTTTGTACCTGACCTGTGCATGGTTCTCTTCTGGTGGTGCCCCCTGCTAGGTCCCTGTGAATGTACACATCCCTGGGGTTTAGCTTTAGACAGTTGTTTGGTAGTTTTGGGTACCGGTTAGCAGTACCCTCCCTGGGATTACCTGGGCGTGAGTTTCCATTATGCGCTCAGGACCTTGGGAATTCCCTAGGGGGCACGTGGGTCCGATGGATGTGTCTCCTGAGTCCCCCCATCGCCTCATGTGAGTTTGAGGGGTTGCTCGGTCCCCTTGGCTCAGTGTGACCCTCATGGTTTTTGCCTTCGTCACGCTGCCTGTCGGGTCGGTGCGACTTCAACCCGGAGTCATGCGAGTAACCCCCCCTCCCCCACCACCTGCTTTCGGCCCCGAAACGTCTGGGGGTTTCAGAGTCTCGGCGGTCTCGGGGGATGCCCCTTCCGGTGTGACGATGGAGGCATTCGAATCCACTCGTCCTGCAGAAGCCTCTGGGTCTGACCAGTGGCCCCCCCTTCGGTTCGGCTTTCTCGGCTGCGCCGGCTTTTTCTTTAGGGGCCGGTGCTCTGGGGGATGACTCGGCCCCGGGTCCCGAGGAGGGGGATCTTGGGGCTGACTTGGGGACCTTGGGCCCCGCTGGATCCCGCCTGTTTTTCTACCCTCGGAGCGGGGCCTATTGTTACAAGGAGTGGGGTTCTCTTTTTTTCCACCCTCTGCGTATGAGTTGGATTCGGTTCCGTGTTCCCTCGGATGCATTGGTTCCATCTTTCCAGAGGTTTCGATTTCCCGCATCCAACCGTGTGCAGTGCGGGCAGCCCTGACATCTTAGGTCCTGCGTGACCTGGATTACGCCTCGGTGATGGATCCGTTGTCTTTCAAGTTTGGGAATTCGTTCTCTATCTGGGTCCATTATGAGGTTCCGGAGTCATCCTGGCTGGGGACTGTCCTATTTTTGCTTTGGAGGCTTGGCATTCTTTCTGTCGTTCCCGCACACTTGAGTGGCGTGAGGTTTCGATGATGATACATGTTTTCCTAGGGAGCGACCTTGAGCACCTCGTTGAGTGCTTGTTTGCTCCTGCCCTTCCTCGGGATGTTGGCGTTCTGCACTTACATGTGCAGGTTCCCTCCCTTTCGGCTGCGCAGGTGGCCGAGGACTTGCGTGTCAGTGGCGTCTTGGCTTTGGCCTTGCGCTTCTTTTCCCTCCTGGAGCTGTCTTCGGACTGGCTTGGGGAGGATGTGGGGGTGCTTGGGGCCGTTCTGGGGTCCGGTGCCTTGGGCTCAGCGGCAAGCGCATCGTCTGCCTTGTTGAAGCTGTTTGCGCCAATCTTGTGGGATGCGGTATCCCTGTTCTACGCTTCCCGGCTTGCAGACGGCAGGCGGTGCTTGCCTCCTCCTTGGAATCGGCCTGGGCCTTGGCTCTTAGGATGTTTTTGGCTTTTTCTCCT